GTAAGCTGGAACAGTATTATTGTATAATACTGTATAAGTAGTATTGTGTAATTAACTCAAAGCACTGCGTATTTAACTTGAATTTTGCTACAATAGGCTCCTTCCTTAACTATGAGTCGTCCTTAAACCAGGTGTCCTTAACTTGGAGACTACATGTATTTGCACAATTGTGGCCAATGCCAATGCACTAATAGTAACTCTAAGCCATTTGATAAGTATGACTATGCTGGTTACATCTGACTGTTGCAATCTACTATACATGGGCTACTCTTGAAAAGTGTCTAGCAACAGTACAACTAGTGTAAAATGTAACAGTTCTCTTGGCTAATTGGCATAAAGTATATCATTCATGTACTGAAAGTTGTGCACTGTTTGCCAATAGCTTTTCTAGCTTAATTTTGGGTATTTGGATTTTTTATAAACTCTAAATGTATATAGTTCTGTTTATTTCAGGAACCACTTTTCCTAGTATGAACTTGTTAAAATCCGTAGAAGAGTCCCTTCTGAAGATGCCCTTGCTATCAGAGGTTTGCTTATCTTACACACAGCAGAGGGGTTTCTCTTGGATTGCCCCCCCCCAAACTAGAGAACACATTTCCTTGGGAGTGACATATAGCCTCCACTGTTTTAATGTCTAGAACAGTGTTTCTCAACCCTGCCAACTTTAAAATGTGCAGACTTCAACTCCCAGAATTCCCCAGCCAGCATGTTTAGTGTTTGAGAAACATTGGTCTAGAAAATCTATGAAGGCACAATTTTCACTAGGTTTCTAATTGTTCATGTTAGTATTAACGTTAATTTATGTTTTAATCTGTTTGTTTTTGTTTTTTTAAATCGTAGATGCTTTAAAAATTGCTTGTAGTAGTAGATGGAACATAAATCAAACAAACAATGTTCCACACACTATAATGGCTAGTTTTTACATGCTAAATCAAAAACCAGTAAGATACATTATAGTTTAGCACGGTTGATACTGCATCTTAACAAGCAGTCCATGGCTTATCATAGCTTGTAAATCAAAAACTTAAAACTAATCCTTGTTTGTAAGCTATCACAGATCAGTTACCTCTCTGGATGAAACTCAAAGGCTTTGTTGCAACATGAGGATCAAGCACCGCCAAGTAAGCCTGTGCAGTGTTTTGTGTATATTTCACAAAGATTCAGCTGCTGCAAAATTCCAAAAACTTTTTCTTTTAGCATTTGTCCTGCTTGTTGTGGAGTCTGCTTGTTTGCTCTGTGCTTGCCTACTTCACACAGGAAAGCCATCAAAGCATGATGCAATGAGAGGTTTGTTCTTCAGCTGGCTTGTCAGAGAACTTGATGTTGTTTGGGGGCTGAGAAGCAGGGACCGGGCCAAGGTCATCCAGATGGCTTCCGTGCCTAAGAGAGGACCAGAACCGTGGTCTTCCTACTCCAGCACCTAAATCATCATCACAGCATACTGGCACTCATTCCCAAGAAAAGATGCAGCTGCTTTAAACTCTTGCAGACACATGTAACATTCCTATCCCTGTGTAGTCCACAGCACCTTTCTGGAACTGAACTGGAAGCACTGTCCTGCCCTATCTCCAACTGCCATGCCTCAGGAAGACTGAGACTCAAAGCTCATTATCATATTAAATTGCTTAGCATTATATTTGAACGAACCCCCTATAGCAGTTTTTCTCAACCTTGACAGCGTGAAGATGTGTGGGATGTCTAGGAACTGAAGTTCACACATGCTGGCTGGAGAATTCTGGGAATTGAAATTCACACATGCTGGCTGGAGAATTCTGGGAGTTGAAGTCCACACATCTTCAAGCTGCCAAGGTTGAGAAACACAGCCCTATAGGCAGCTACCATGAGTGACTTATTCCCCACATACTTCTACACAAACTACTGTTTATTGCCATTTACTGTTCTATGATCTACTCATTCCTTTTGTGAAATGCTGAGGAATGCATGCCTGTAACTCAGAGACTTTACAGTATACAGGACATACTGTCTCCAACAGATTCTTATAGAAACACAGCAGAGGTCTGTTTAAGAGTAAGGAAAGATCACCTTACTGTTATGCATACAACAATCTAGAAGAACATTCCTGTGTAAGCATTCACCTTGAAATGTTCTTGAATGGGAACCCACTAAAACTGAATTAAGAAAAATAACACTGTCAAAAGGAAGAAAGAAAAGCTAATACATAATAGCAAGGGGTAAGCATTGCCTATCCAGCTGATATGGAATTCAACATTCTTAAAGATTAAAAAAACCTCTCCCTCTGTACTGTAGCCAAGGCTTGACAATCAACTCCACCCACCCCCAATAAAAACAGGGAGAATGGAAAACCAAAAGCAGGAAAATCTAACCAGGAATTATGCCACTCTTACTGGGGAGGGAGGGAACTGGGGAGGGAGGCTCCACAGGCCTTAAGAGGGAAAATCATCTTCACATGCCCATTTCCTTCTCCTCCTCCTCTCTCAGTAATTATCCTGGGCCAGGAGTGGGGGGTGTCAGAAGGGTAAGAGAAGAGGAAAAGGAGTGGTGTCTCCAGGAAGGATAGGAAGGGCTGCAGGATGTTAACGCGGCAGTAGGAAGCATGGAGCAAACTCAGGGTCATTGCTTTCCCCTAATATGGATGTGAAATCACTTGAAGCCTTCATTCTTCATGCAGCCAGCATAAATAACTAAATACTACAACCGTACACACACTCCCTAATTATCCCAGCCCTCTCTCTCAGACTTCAGGAGATTAAAAATATTCTTAGCTCTGTCTTCAAACATCTGTGGGGATGCATTTCATGGCTGCTAAACTGAAAGGTAAAAGATCTGAGATTCCCATTTATTTTCACCTCTACTTCAATAACAGGCGCACTCATCTTACAATCTAAAAAGCAAAAGGCTTCACATCAGCCACCTACTATCAATGGGCAAACCTTTTTCTTGCCAACCAGCCTGAGAATGTAAGATTATTGCCAGGGACATCAACTTGTTGCTCCATTCGGTTTGTTGGATCTCACACTAGGTAGTTCTGCTCCACAGTCCTAAAGGCATTGAAGGAAGGTCCATAACCCACATTTACAAAAAGCAGCCCAAAGCTTTCAATTGTTTCAGCATCAGTTCTCCTCCACCCCATCCCTTTTCTTCAGGAACTGGGCCCACAACCAGCCCATCATCCTTTCAGGAACAATCTCCTCTCCCTGTTTTGTGAGTTCCTTATTTTCTTATGCATGATAAGAAATACCATTATTGCTAACTGACTCAGAAATTCCACAAAAGGTTGGATGCTGCTCTTCTCTGTAAAGATGTGGAACGAAATGTTGAACATTTTCAGTAAAGAGGAAAACCACATATTGTTTATTTACCGCAATATTTTTTTATAATGTCCAATCCACAGGCTAAGGAGGAGAAACAGATCCAGAGAATCTCTACTTGGCTAGTTTTTTTTTTTTTAAAGCTTTCCACAAAGTAAGCCTAACAACTCATACTTAAAAAAAAAATAAGCTGTCTTTTCCAAATCAACATAATGTTCATCTCAAAACTGTTCCATGCTCTGATTACAACACACCCACTCCCAGGAGGTCAGAGTGGAGAGGAGGAGAAGTTGAAGAAAGGAGGACTGCAACTACACAAAGCCTGTTTTAAGAAAGGCTGGTAGGTTCTGGGACAGGCCAACAGTATTTTCCTACCCAGGAACAGAGGCTCTTCCTAGTTACAAGCATACCTGCTCCACAGATACGGATATCTTATAGACACAATACCCTCGTGGGAATAATACCTTTTCGGTCAGAATAAGCACTCATCATGTTTTAATAGACTTTTCTACAGAATCCTTCTTCAGTTCTCTTACGAAAGGATTCTGTGTTACTGAGAAAGCTTACATAGCTCTGCCTCAGTAACAACGTGAAACTTTTGCCAAGCCGCAGTTGCTTGTCCTGCCCGCCTCTTTTCCTGAGGGAAGAGGAAGGAGCGAGCCGGCGTCCACCGCTTTGAGCAGAGCGGGTTCGGGGGGGATCTCCCGTTCGCGCTCCCTTCCCCAGCCGCCGACGCAAAATCCACCCCAGGCAACACGGCGCGCGCACTCGTGTACAAGCGCGTGACCGCTACCCAAGAGAGGAGAGCGCCCGTGGAGGCGGCAGCAGGCCTAAAAAGGGGCGCCATAATGGGGAGTACAGGTATCAGCCCACCTTTGGGAGAGGAGAGGCGGGAAAAGGCCCCGCGAAGAAGCGACATCTCGAGAACAGCTCGTAGCGGAAAGGGAGCGGACCGCCTGGGGCGGCTCAACCTGACCGGACACGCCCTCCAGAGACGGTCTACACGACCGAGGCCACGAAAGTCCCCAGGACCGACACTTACCGTCATGCTGCCGTCTCAAGCGAACAGCTGTCAAGCCTCCGGGTACGTTTCAGTATCAGCCCCCCCAAGCGACGCTAAAACCAGCGCCGGCAGCAGCGGCACCGATGGCCATTTCCCCGCCTCCCGCCCTCCTCCGGACTCGTCTCACTTCTCCGATCCGCCCAGGAGAAACTTTTTTCCTCAAAACTTCCTGGGAGGCTCTTCCCCGCCAATGGGAACGTATCGAATGGCAACGTTCCTGGGGGGGCACTATTTGCAAGCGGCCAATGAAGAAGCAGAAAGGGAGGTGGGGCGGGGCCCGGCTGCCCAAGGCTAGACGACAGTAACCAATGAGGTGGAGGCGGGCGCAGGCGGGGGGAAACTGAAGCGGCGAGCAAGCAAGGGAGCGGGCGAGATTCAGAAACAGGCGCCCGGGAGTCCCCTTCCCTTCCAGGCAGCGCCGCGTCAACCCGCGCAAAGGAGCTGTTGCCTGAGCCTGAGAGGAAAACACGTAAAGGAATCTACCATCTTACGGAAAGCCTCGAGGCGCCCATCCCGAGCTAAAATCCGAACGGAAAGGCTTGCAGATCAGATTAGAACACGAGAGTTTTCCCTCTTTTTATCACCCCTCTAGATTCCCGCGCGTACTTCCTCCCCTGCCCTTCTCCAATACTGTACTGGGAACTGTTGGGAAGCGGGGAGGCGTCTGGTTGCAATTTAGAGAAAGGAAAAGAAGGCACCCTTAGCTCGGCCTTCTCTCGCGGCATTCTTCCCAACTTTGCATTAATTTTGTAAAGAAACCTGAGAGGGGAAACCTGAATAGGATAAGGGTGTTTTGTGGAATTCATGATGATGGTTTACATATAAACTCTGGCTTGCGCAACTGGGAGTCCGAAAACCTGATACTTCAGCCTTAAGCACACTGGTGGGGGGTGGAATCTGTGGCTCATGTTTCTGTACAAAGGCTGACAAGATCTGACAGTGTATTTGCTCTGAAATATGCAGTCAAAACAAGTATCTGTATTTTTGGCTTTGCCTTAACCAGAGAAACAGTTACAGTTTCTAACCTGCAACCCAAGAGGTATAATAAAGAACAGGAAGCTGAGAATTATAAATAGGGAGCTGAGAATTATAAATAGGAAGATCAGAGTAAAATCTGAGGGTGAGAGCACTATTAGAGCAAGTGAGAGCACCATTAGAGCAAGAATTGTGCCAATGAAATTTCTTAAATCAAAACAAGGAGTCTTATGACAGCTTCAAGAACAGCAGTTTTAAGTATCATCCTTTTTAAAACATAATCTTCTCACATTTCATTTTACTCTGATCTTCCTATTTATAATTCTCAGCTCCCTATTTATGCCTCTATTCCTAGATTAGAATAACTCTCACTATATCAAGTGGGCCGTTTCCATTCACAAAAGCTTGTGATCAAACAATCAAATTGTTAGTCTTTAAAGTGCCAAGATAATGATAATGTTTGCTATTTATGGTCAGCAAACTGAGATGACTGTCTCTTTGGAAACTTAAAAAGCAGAAAACACTATCCGTGCCTCTTAACCCAATAAAGATTGAAACACCTTTGTTAGCAACTTACATACAAACATCCTAATATCTAAAGATGAGACAAGAGAAACAGTTGGGCTGACAACACCATTAAATTGTTTACAAACGGAGTAAACACAACATTCTAGGCCAAATTTAGGTTTCCTCACCCACTACCTGTACCAGGAACCTATTTCCACTGCTCCAGTATGCAGAAGGGTATACAGAAGAATATTTTGGCCCTCAGTGTGGCTAATGAAGGTATTTAAGAGTTATACACAGACTGGACACATAACCGCACCTTGAATTTCCTTACGGAGGCTGCCTCAAAGAAGCCTTTCCACACAGTTGAACTGAACTGCTATCTATCCAGTTCTGAGTCAGGGGAACTAAGGTGGCATGAAATTTGCTGTCCCTTCTGCTGATCCCTATCCTGAGTCTGTTTCAGGTCAGCAGTCTCCTGATTTCCCTGGCAATGGGTAACAAAGGCTAACAGATTTTAGATACCTTGAGGCTGCCTTGCTTAATGCCAGAATGAGGGGGGAAATACTGCTTTAGTAATAGTACAGCTAAGGAAGACTTAAGACTCATTCATGGACTGGGGATGTGATGAAGGCAATGCTATGTTTGTGCCATACGTAAATGTGAAAGGTGGAAAGGCTCCAATAATCAATATGCTGAGTAAAAGTACCCAAACACACTAGAAACTGTCAGTTGACCATGGACACGCTGTCCTTCCAAAGGATTTTCTCTTTTATTATTAAAAGAGGGAGGAAAAAGAATGGTAAGGATTTTCTGGTTAAGGAGGGATTGCATTTATATAACTATACAGATGGGCAGTTTAAGCGTGTAGCAGATTTAATAATATAAATACATCCCACAGAGAAATCTGAATTACTGTTCATTGTTTTTTCTTAAATGGAGTTCTGTCAGGCTCCAAATGAAAAGCTTTGTACTTCAGAGACAATGTCTCTTCCCTTCACATTTTACCAGCACTAACTGGACTTGTAATGACATGATCTCTGGAAAAGCCCTAAGAAATATGTGGCATCACCATCAACAGTTCATTCAACCATGATGCAATAGGCCCTAACTCTGCTTTCCGGGAACTCAAATGACTCTGCAACCTAAGAACCTCTTAAATATATAAAGTAAGGAAAAAGCTATAGGTCTCAAGTACACACGCTTGGAAACAGAAGTACTTGCTTATTGTACAACCCAGCAGCTGAAAACACTTATTTCACTTGAGAAAATCTATTAGTGCTCACTGAAAAAAAGAGAAATTGTTTGATGAGAAGGTTAGCTGCTAACAAGAAAAATGCAGGATGCTGGGAAAACAACACTATCTCAATGATACCCACAGACAGAGAAAACAACTCCAGCAAGCCATCTTCTAAACAAGGTGCTAAGCAGCTGCTTCTGTCTCCCACCTGCCAACCTTGCTTAGTATTACATCTGTTGTAGCAAATCACTTAATTGCTTCCATCTTCAGTTTAAATTACATAGCTGCACTTAAGAAATTGCCAGGTATTTACAGGTTGCCTAATACAAGACCATTTCTTTCCTAGAAGGATCAGAAGCTATTGGCAAAGGTACTTCTACATTCTTTATTCGCAACATACAAATTCTTCACTTTGAACATTTAGATTACAATGCAATCATGCACGGCTGGATTGCTTTATGAACAAAAGGAATGAGTCTACTGCATCATCATCTATATTGCCCAACTCATTTTTGTAGCTGTACTGTTTATTAAAATATGCCAATAGAACCCTAAAAAACAAGTTTCCTTTTGCAGCCATGGAGCATGACATCCAGGGCAACTCCCTACCAGCTGTACCAAATCCCCTCCTCCCCAGAAATCATGCAATTCAGAAAATAATACTTAGATGTAGAAATTCTTTGTAGCTGGTATCTGTAAAAATGCAAATAGAGGCCAATTTTTACTGCAAAAATTTAACTGGATATTGGATTTTGTCTTAAAAAAAAAATTAAAAAGATTGTATATTTGCAAACTTTCCTCAAATGTTATCTAGTGTGTATTACAGAATATAATCTGATTCCACTCCAGAAATATTTGCATATAGCCTTGGGTCATTTCAGTGTCATCACTTCTAAATAGGGATAAATGGTTCTTTCAGGCTATTTACTTTGCTGCTGCCTCCCTTGAGGTGTGTAGCATGCTCAGTAGTGGTGTCTGGAAGAGCAGAGATACAGGTGCTTAGGCTGGCCTACAGCATGCAGGCAGATTCATATCATTCTCTTGCAGCTGCAATTCGAGCAGAGGCTTGTTCTCAAAGTTTTGGGGGTTGGGTTAGGCATTGATGCCAGCTGGCCAGCCATCTCTACCTGAACAACAACAAATAATAGTCCCCAATGTCATCTGGATTCCCTTGCTATCCATGCACCTACTTTCCTAATCAGGTTTTCACAGTCCAGATTCAACACTGCACTGTCCCTGGACCCCATAAATTCAGACCAGGCGGTGGGGGGGGGGGGGTTCTCAGTCTTACACCCAGGCATTAATGGAACCGGAATCCTTTAATCTTAAAGGATGATCTAGTACTTTTTAATTCTGTGTATTTCATTTAGTTGCAACTTAGGATCATCTATTTGAAAACAACTGTCATTGAAATCTTCTGCGGGGTTGAATCAGTAGTGTATTTCACAAGGTAATGTATTGTTAAGTCTCCTTCATGTCAAGCTCCAAGTCCTGATGATTTCATAGGTACTTCCATGTGATTTTCTTGGTAACAATCTGGAAATGGCTTGCCACTGCTTTCTTACAATTTTTTTTAAGCTAGCCAGTTTAACTTCCAATCCTAGTATTTCCCAGTGGTATCTAAGTCCAACCCTGCTTAGTTTCTGAGATCAGCCATGGCTGGCTAGGCATCTATTTAGACCAGTTCTGCCAGTCCTCTAAGGAGAGGCACAGTTGCTCAGGGACAGAGCACAAGCTTTAAAAGTAGAAAGCATGCAGCCACTGCCATCTCCTGCTAAACGCATCTGATAAAAAAGGTTGGGAAACTCCTCTGAAGAGCCATTCCCCATCAGAACAGACAGCATTTAACGAAATAGAACAACAGGCTGATCAGATAAAAGGCAGTTGTCTGTATTCCTATGAGAACACACGAACCTCCCTTTCAGATTCTTAGAATTATTTGTCCAAAATATATTAACAGGTATTCCTTATCCAGAGATGCTAAGGATTGAATTTGCACCAAGGAATTATTCTTTCTAAAGAAAAATGCAAGACTTTTTAAGATGCCAACAATAAGCAATCCTGAACAGCTAAATCAAGAGTAGACAACCTGTGGCCATGCAGATAGACTTCACCTACCATAGTCCCTTTCCTTTGACCATGTTGGCTGGAGTTGAAGAAATCCCAAAACTTAGAAGGGCATCAAGTTGCCTATACTTGAGCAAAGGATAAAGTTGTACTGTACCTTATGTTTCTTACTGGTGTCCAGATAAAGGATTTGACTTCTAGAGGAACAGGTACTTGTCACAGCGTGCCTTCCACCTTGCTGCTTCTGCAAATAAATGTGCAGAAAGAAAGCTATATTTTAAGAGAATCTCCATTTTAAACACTGATCTCATTTTCCCCACTCATGGGATAATGAAAAAATGCCTCAAA